GGCGTGTGGCACCGCTATCAAGTCCGTACGCATATCCATGAGTGTGTGTTTGTGTGCATGCGCTTGTTCGTCAGTGTGTATCAGTGGGTGGGTGAATGTATGCTTCTTGGGGCTTGTACTAAAATTGTACTAGAAAGTTGCCAGTTCTCATCTTCCAGCTCCCCAGATACTCCGCGTACTAAAGTTGTACTACAAAGTCGCCAGTTCTCAGCTTCCAGCTCCACAGATTGCTCCGCGTACTAAAGTTGTACTACAAAGTCGCCAGGTCTCATCTTCCAGCTTCGCAGATACTCCGCGTACTAAAGTTGCACTACAAAGTCGCCAATTCTCATCTTCAAGCTCCGCAGATACTCCGCGTACTAAAGTTGTACTACAAAGTCGCCAGTTCTCATCTTCCAGATCCGCAGATACTCCGCGTACTAAAGTTGTACTACAACGTCGCCAGTCCTCAGCTTCCAGCTCCGCAGATACTCCGCGTACTAAAGTTGTACTACAAAGTCGCCAGTTCTCAGCTTCCAGCTCCACAGATACTCCGCGCACTAAAGTTGTACTACAAAGTCGCCAGTTCTCAGCTTCCAGCTCCCCAGATTGCTCCGCGTACTAAAGTTGTACTACAAAGTCGCCAGTTCTCAGCTTCCAGCTCCACAGAGTGCTCTGCGTACTAAAGTTGTACTACAAAGTCGCCAGTTCTCATCTTCCAGCTCCGCGGATACTCCGCGTACTAAAGTTGCACTACAAAGTCGCCAGTTCTCAGCTTCCAGCTCCACAGATGCTGTGCCTGCCACGAAATCTGCACATGGAGGTTCACAAAGTGCTGTGCCTGCCACGAGATCTGCGCACGGAGGTTCACAAAGTACTGCGCCTGCCACGAAATCTGCACATGAAGGTTCGCAAAGCGCTGCGCCTGCCACGAAATCTGCACATCCAGCGCCGGTGCCCAGCCGACGCCACACCGTACATACGACCTTGGCAAGCAGCAAAGTGCTGTGCCTGCCACGAGATCTGCGCACGGAGGTTCACAAAGTACTGCGCCTGCCACGAAATCTGCACATGAAGGTTCGCAAAGCGCTTTCGCCTGCCACGAAATCTGCACATCCAGCGCCGGTGCCCAGCCGACGCCAGGGCGTACATCCGACCCCTTGGCAAGCAGCAAAGTGCTGTGCCTGCCACGAGATCTGCACACGGAGGTTCACAAAGTACTGCGCCTGCCACGAAATCTGCACATGAAGGTTCACAAAGTGCTGCGCCTGCCACGAAATCTGCACATCCAGCGCCGGTGCCCAGCCGACGCCAGGGCGTACATCCGACCCCTTGGCAAGCAGCAAAGTGCTGTGCCTGCCACGAGATCTGCACACGGAGGTTCACAAAGTGCTGTGCCTGCCACGAGATCTGCGCATGAAGGTTCACAAAGTGCTGCGCCTGCGACGAAATCTGCACATCCAGCGCCGGTGCCCAGCCGACGCCAGGGCGTACATCCGACCCCTTGGCAAGCAGCAAAGTGCTGTGCCTGCCACGAGATGTGCTGCGCCTGTGAGTGATGTTGTGTGTGTGCTGTTGTGTGTGAGACGATGTTGTGTGAGTGATGTTGTGTGTTGTGTGTGAGATGTTGTTGTGAGAGATGTTGTGTGAGTGATGTTGTATGCAAGGCGTTGTGTGTGGGATGTTGTCTGAGTGATGTTGTTGTGAGAGATGTTGTTGTGAGAGATGTTGTGTGAGAGAGGTTGTGAGAGATGTTGTTGTGAGAGATGTTGTGTGAGAGAGGTTGTAGTTAGAGAGGAGGAAGGAGGAAGGAGGGAGGAGGACGGAGGAGGACGAGCGAGGAGGTGCAGCAAAAAAAACAAGAACACCACACAACAATGTGGGGAATGACCGGGACACCATCAAAACACGACCGGGACACCATCACAACATGACTGGGACACAATCAAAACATGATCGGGACACCATCACAACATGACCGCGCCACCATCACATGATCGGGACACCATCAAAACATGACCGGGACACCGTCACAACACGACCGGGACACCATCAAAACATGCCCGGGACACCATCACAACATGACCGGGACACCATCACAACATGACCGGGACACCTTCAAAACATGACCGGGACACCATCACAACATGACCGGGACACCATCAAAACATGACTGGGACACCATCAAAACAGGACCGGGACACCATCACAACATGACTGGGTCACAATCAAAGCATGATCGGGACACCATCAAAACATGACCGGGACACCAGCATCACATGACCCGGACGCCATCAAAACATGACCGGGACACCATCCGCCCACCAGCTCTGACGGTGACCCAACGGCGCCCGTCCGCCTATTAGTTTTGCAAGACCCCATAGCATGGCTATTGGGGAATTAAACTACGATGGCCGCGGTAAAGTTTCCAAAAGCAAACGTTAAAATACAGCAAGTAGACTAGCTGATAGCACGGGATGACTAGGGGACAACCAGACCACCAAGAAAATACAAAAACATAAGCAGGATCACTAGATAATCCAGGAGGGATAGAAACCATAGGATTCAGGTTCATTGCATGAGCAATGGCATTCACTGTTAAGAACCTCCCCCGCTTGCACCATTAGGCGGGGCAAATGGGCAGGTAGGAATTAGCACGTGTAGGTGAAGTGTTTATATAATGTATCTGAGCATGAGGTGCGGAGCTCATTCGAGGGAAAACAACAAGGAACAATTGGCACCTAAATGTGTGAAGAAAGGTACTTGGCTAAAATGCTGGGTGATGAAAAAAGTATGGAGATGGCCTCAGAGACCCACTCCATCTTCACGAAGGGTGCGCTCTTGCTTGATCGAGGCCTGAAGAGTGAAGAGCTGGAGTTGGCATTAGCAAATGGAGATGTTGAAAATGAAGTGATCACCAAGGATCAATGAAGGCTGATGGGGTTGGAGATCAGACCATAGTCTTGGGACGGTGGAAGCAAAGTGGTCCATTTCCGGATTGGCGTTACATCGGTATACCGGAATGCCTGGTATTGACAACAAGGACAGCAATCTATGTGGCTTTGTCACATGATACATGGCGGAGGAGGAGGTGGTGGCATTAAAGGTCAGCAAGAATTCGCTGAAAAGATTGAACAAATTACCCAAAGGATTGCAAAATGCGAAAGAAGCTGGGATGAAGCAAAGCATGTTGATAAAGATCCTGAAGGCAGCCCAAAAGCTGCATGATGAGAGGATCAAGATCGCAGAGACTGCCAAAAGGAGGTTGGAGAAGGGCAGTGAGCTAAACAAGCTCGAGGAATTGGCCCGTAAGGTTGTAAATAAGGGCCAAGAATGAGCTCTCCCAGGGTATTGGATGATGAGGAAGGAAGGGAATAGATTGGGAAGAATCATTGGCTGGTCAGATGGGATCAAAATACGCAATACCATTGGCTGGAACATGAGGATGCCCCATCCAATGAGTCTCAAAGATTGGGCAACTTGCCAAAGGGATGAGCCAACAATGAACCAGCATGGGCAAAAGATTTCTTGGGATCAAATGAGTTGGCAACAAGCTGGCAACAAGACCATATAGGATGAGGGATTGGTGAAATGTACAAAGACTTAAGGAAGGGAATAGAGACGATCAATTTAATATTGCACTGCACAAAATTTTGGTGAATCAGTTTAGCCGAACAAATTGCGGGGTAGTGGATACCCCATTTGGGGAAATTGACAGAAGGTTTCTTTTGAAAGGCAGTTGGTATCGTAGGAAAAAGTAGTGCCAAACTGATACGGTGTTCAAGAATCAGAAGTCTCAACTTCTTTTGAGATATTGCCTTTGAGATGTGTAAGGAATTAAACATGTCAGAAAATGCTATATATATATATTCTTTTTAGTAACATACTAACATACAATGTTCTATCATCAACTGCTAAAAATTAGCAAACAAACACTGTGAAACACGGGCCTCCACAATGTCCCACTCTCCAACAAAAGCCCAACACATCAATGTGGGAAAAACAACTGGTGCTGGCGGTTGTCGCCACGAAGCAACCTGAATAAGTTCGTCCTCTTTGTTGGACTCGCGTCCTGCCCTGCCTCAATCTCTTTGGGGTTGGTGGAGCTCCGTTGGATTCGTCCCAGCTCGCCAAAAGCCTCCCAGAGTTCAGTTGCAGACAGGCCGAATTATCATGTGCACAAGCGCTACACCCATTCTACCCTTCCCATAATGTGCATAGAAACAGAAAACCAGCTCTGGCTGCTTCTTTGGTTGTTTATCAGGGGGGGCGCATATCTCATAGCCCATCCCCTCTCGTACTATGTACAAATGGATTGATTCAAATACTCATACATGAGGTGGATGAGGAATAAATAAACCACATCGCATGTTCCAAAGTGTCACATATAATATCGCGATGCTTGAGGAGTCTCTGGCTGAATTTGACTTTCACCGAAAGTTCCTGTGATAATTTGGATTCTTTCTGACCTGTACAGTAGTGCATTCTTTACCAACTGACATGGAGCAGTCAGTCTGGACTGGACCCTTTTTTCTGTCACAGGCGTCTGAGTGAAGCATTGGCCAGTTTCGCCAGCTCCTTGCCAACACAACTTCTAAGTTCTAAGTACTGTCAAGATGCGCTCCACACATTCGCACAAGGAGGACATGTCCTCGTCTGGACCCTCTCGCAAGGCAATCAGGGCACGTTCCTTGCTTGGTATCTCAGAATCATGGCTAAACAGCACTGGGTTGACACTCGCAGAAAGCTTGCGAAAGCTCTGATTGGACACTGACTGAAATATTCATGAGTTCAGACAAGAAATCCTCAGGAACTTCTCCATGCTTCAACACCGATCCTCCCCCGCCAGGTCTTAACAGTCTCAACACCAAGCAGCTCCCTCATCACCTCGTTCAGAAACAAAACCCAAAAGCTCCACGGCCACTTTGCAAACCTCTAGGTCACTGTGCGCAAGATACTCGAGCCTTGGTGCGGCGGTGTCTTGTCAGATTGCAAACGCCTCTGGAAGCAGCTCCAAAGACCCATCCCCCAAGCAAAGCAATGCGCAGATCGCTTCTGTCAATGCAATTTGCACCCAGATGCAACATCTCTTGCAGCTCTCGATCCCCGCGAAGAGACATCTTGCGAAGCGCCTGGGAAAGCGAAGTCAGTAGGCCGCGGCCGCAGTAGGGCAAAAATGCGTTGCAAATTGCTCTGGATCCCCCACCTGCGCTGCTGCATTGGACACGGAGATGTCTTCATCAGCCAGTCGTGCGCCAGCAGCCCTGGCAGCCTTCGAGATCCCACGCCTCAGGTTTTGGAGAATTGACTCGACTCGTCGACTCGCAAAGCCTGTGGGATGTGCCTGTATGTCACACAAAAAAAAACAAACTCCAAATACAATATGAGGACATCAAAAAATGCAAATCTGTGATTGGTTCATTCGTGTTCAATTCACGTCTTCAGAAAAGTGTCCCTACCAAGCGCGGCAGCACCAGCAGTACCTCACAACGCAGCTCGGAGCTTTTGGCCTGCTGTAGAAGCGAAATCAAAGCGTAGAGCGCCTGGTCGCAGCTCTGACCTGGGGAAAGCATTTGGAGCGATTCAATTGCGCAGTGAATAGCTTCATTGAATCTAAAGCTGTCTGTCAAGTCAAAGTGAACGAATCTAAATGTAAGAATTCTTGCGACATCAGCTCAAAGCCTAGGTGTTGTAAAAGGTTGAATCCAAAGTCTCCGTTGGGAGTTGTGAAGACTCGCAGTGCCAGCCTGCCCTAAGCGGGGGCCGAGGCTGGTGCATACAAGATACGGGGAAATGCCCAAAATAGGCACGTCAGCAGAGACCAAGCAAACTTCTCTGCACCTTTTGTCTGGCCAATTTTTGATATACGCCAACAATCAGCAGGAACACCCCAAAGGGCTTGTCGCATTGAGACTCAGCGAAACTGTGACACGATCTTGACAACCAAGGCAGGGTGGCTCGCTTTGCCAGTCGTCATGTTGACGTGCGCTAATTTTACAAGTCTAGATGGCTTTCTGCCACTTTTAACGAGTGCTCAATGAGCGGGCAAGCACCACTCTGCGTAAAGCCCAACCCCTTTCCACCCTTAACGGCATGAGAACGACAAAACTAAACCTAACCCGTTGTCGAAACCGCCCTTAGCCATGACCTTTCTCAAGGTGGAGTCATCATTGGATTGAGCATTTAGAAGGCCACCAAACATTGGTTTCATGCAACTGTGGACCCAGCACATCCTGCTCTTTGCCACTTGCTTGATTGAAACTCGTCAAGGCCCAAGGCAATGAAGCTTTTGAGAGCGAACGACATGTTCATTCACCAGGCCAGGCTGATGAATCAATCTTTTGTACATGGGTCTGTGTATTATATATGGATATAGTCTATGAATTTATCGTGTGGTAAGCCTGCACAATCGAGCCAACTCCGTTTAAAGAACTCACATCATTCATGAATGATCACAGCGTTGGGCCCGAAGATGTTGCCACGCCACCGAGCAAACGGGAAGAATACGTGGGATCGATCGCATCATTGCTAGAATACCATATGGAATCAATATGAAGCAATATGAATCAACGATGCCGATGCCTGAAAAAGGGTCACAAGAGTGCCACGACGTTTTGAAGCACTGTTGACCAGGAAGCTTTAGCGAAGCAAGCTGAGAGCATCTGTCAGAAATATCGAGAGTACGGACGTGAGAAATGCAAAGGGACAGGACAAGGGCTGCAGGCACCTGTTCCAGTCCCCGAGGCTTCATGCACCCCCGGACAATTTGCATCTTTTGGCAAGACAGTATTGGGCTGAACCATGTGGAAGCCTCCTTGGAGTGCGAAAGCGAAGTGCTAGCAGCGTTCAAGGCCGACCGCTCTGATTGCCCACAGCAAATGAATATCGTGATATCGTGTATATTCTGCAATCACAAGCCATTGCAAGCTGGGCTAAACAGGTGTCCCTCCAGACGGAGGGTTCCCCGAAGACGATTGACTTCCAATACTTTTGACAAGGGAGTGCAATAAGCATGCTTGAAACCCGTTGAACAGCTTCGTGGATAGATTTCTTTGGTCACGTCTTTTTGGCTTCATGAAGGATTCGCCGGTGTCTTCGATGGTTGCTTTGTGTTTGGTTCTGTTGTTGCGGCTGTCTGGTCGGTCACAGGAGGTTTGTTTTCGGGGTCCCTTGCTACCTTCATCTACCTTCTTTCCAGGTCGCCTGTGTACTTAGACTCCTTGATCGATTTGGGGTGCCACTTCAGGCAGGGGGCTTTAGGTCAAGAATTTGTGAACTTTTTGTTGGATCCGAATTGTTTCCTGCTCGTGTCTCGAACACTTTCATTAAATGTTCTGATCATGGCTGAGAGTGTGGTCAGAATATGTTGTATGAAAAGGCTGATTCACAGAAGCGTGGATGTCGGGAAGGGTCGCAAAACATCGCAAACACTGTGGGGTTGTAGGCAAAAACAAGCCTTCAGTTCATACGCTTCTAGTTGGAAACACAACTCTGCGGCGGAATTGAGCTTCTGCACCATAACATGTACGAGCATCACAGCTGGCAACTGTCAACTTCAGACTGCGCTGATGTTTCGAATCCGTCTTGAGTGGCACGAAGACAGTTTTTGAGACTTGATGCTTTTCCCAGGCAGGCTCAGGGTACAAGAGTGTTTCTTGACAGCTGAATGATGCTGATGGTCGAAAAACCTCCCGTTTGCAGCCACAGGTGTGCACCGTGCTTTCTTCTTTATCTGCATCCTTTGCATCTCGTGCATCCACCTTGGGCTCTTTGCACTTTGTTTTGCACCTCGTTCCCCAAGTCCGACACAGCTTCAGAGCTGGGGTACCATAAAGCGCATAATTAAAAAAACACAAGACATGTTGCGAGTTCAAATCTAGAGTATATAGTATAACATTACATGGAACTATATTGTATGTTTAGAAGTTTAGATATAAATATATCAGGTTTATAATGTTTAATCTATGTATTTACGTCTACTATAATATATATATATAATTTATATAGAAGGAAATATGTTGGCCGATAAATAGAAAGTAGGAGCAGTGGCTCTACACAACAAGCACCTGGTTCTGGCGGCCAAAGGCCACCAATGGCGCGCACAGCAGCACATGCCACCTTGAGCTCAAACGAAACTGAGAAGACCAGGCTCTGGAGCAACATACCGAAAGCCTAAAGCATAATGAAGTGGGAAAAAGGATTGCGTTCTCCCGTATGGAAGGTGTTGCCTCTTCCTCGCAAATGTGCGTAAGCCACAGGTTCAAATCTGCCGTAAATAGGGCAATGATGTGGCAGCAAATTAAAGGAGCTATTAGGAGAAGCAGCTGGAATGTAGTTGTTACTTCACCGTCCACCATTAAAGCAGCAACGAACTCCCCCCAGTGGCAAATCAGGAATGAAGGAGGACCCGAAGAGGCTCAAAAGCTTGACGCAAGGCACCTGCTCGTCCTTGTCATCCAAGGCCGCAGCTGCAGCTTGCATACCTTGAAAGCACGTCGGTGCTTTTGGGAAGGCAAACGACATCATGTCAAGTGTGTCCGGACAGCATCTTGTTCCCTGGCCTTCACCACCAAAGCGTTCCAGCTGGCCAAGCAAATTCATGGCTTCAAGGCGTGCCTGAAATTGAAAAACGAAATGCAATGGCCAGTTTCTTGAAGACGGCGGGAAGTTGATCAGTGTGAACCCCTTCAGGCAGGTAGGAGTGCTCATGCCAAGGACGTTGAACAAAGGTTCTCTCTCCACCTGCCTGGCCTCTGGCCACTCGCTTCTAGCTGCCTTTGCTCACCAAAAACAAGAAGCAAGCAAAAGGACCACTTTGTCACACTTCAAATCAGGTTTCATCAAACATGTGCTTGGCTCAAATTTGGATGTGTTTGTTTTCAGGAAGCAAACAATTTATATATGTTGAAGTTAACAAAAAGTAACTGTTTCAGTCCGATTGGACTATAAAGCATTATGAGTTCTATTGAACTCCCAAAACTATATGAATCCAAGCGGAACGCATGATCAGTCTGATTCTACAAATCTGTCTTGTTCTCTCCCGATCGAAGTTGCCAGCCGAGCCAGCTCCGCAATGAGCCATGGCGATGTGCCCCGTGGCCCTGCGCAGGTGCGGATGGCCTGAACCGCATGTGTCCG